GTGGCAGGGACTCAACTGAGAGGGCCCGGGATAGAAAGGAAGCCAGGCCTAGCCAGGGAGTAGGGATGGGGCCCTTGAGGATGAGGATGGAGGCCTGGGAGAGAATGATGCAAGAAGGGTTGGAGGCCCCAGGGAAGGTGTTCCCATGCCATCCTACCAGCCTAGGGTGTCACTGTCACATGCCGCCTCGTCCAACGGATGTGCATACTCAAGCCACAGCAGGAAAGCATACAACTGCTGTGCATCCCAGATGGATCTCTTGAGTGATCCCACACCCAGTGCTGCTTAGGCTACCACACGTTGGGGAAGAAACCACCGTGGAGCCAGCAGGTGGACCTCTGAGCCAGGCCCCTTGGGAGTACCAGCCTTCACGTGGCCATCCTGGGCATGGCAGAAGATCAGGGTTAGGGTTAGGTAAGGAGAAGGTGGCACTGGATCAGGATAGCCCTGAGTTGATGGAATGTACCAGCCCACTAGAATGCCAGGAACCAGCTTGTTCAGAAGCCTCTGCCCTGGACTCCACCTCCAGGTGATGCCTCCTGAAAATTCCTCAAATTTGATTCCGGAAAGGAAGCTGGTGCTTTCAGAGATGGGGCTTAATGATGTAGTTCAGCTGGTTTGCAGCCACTACCAATGAAGGCTTCTTAGGGAGAAGGCACGTGTTCCTGTGGACCTCACTGGCTCTCCTTCCTCAGGCCCTGAGAGCCCACTGGATCTAGATGAAGTCACTGGAGTCTTTAGAACAGTGGCTCTGGTCTACAGGGTGATAGGGTGTGGCTGGTTCTCCCTGCAGGGTGGGACCCCCTGGTCAGGCCTGGGAGGTGGCTGTGGGAGAGTTGAGCCAGCATGGTGCAAGGGCGGAGTGCTTCCCAAAGGAAAGAGGGAAAGCAGAAGTGCCTTGGGGCTTATTTAATGGAAGAAAGATGTTAACCCCAAAGCCCTGCTCTCTCCCAGTGCAAGGAGTTAGAGGCAGCCCATCAGCCAGACCACTGCATCAGGACATAGCAGCCTTCAGACCCATAGGGGTTCCAAGGTGCCAGGTTCTCTGTGGATACCCAAATACAAGCATGTTCAAGTCCCTCCTATACAAGGTATGATTGAAAAAATGGTGAATGTTTAAATTTTAAATAATGTATTGCAGTAAAAGACGTATTGCCATTAACCCCCTCCCCATACCCTCCCTCTCTGTGAACACACTTATTCTGTTTTCCTTATCACTTTCTAAAGCAGTTCTGGAAGTCCTTTTTCATGAGAATCATTAGTGGCACTGTCCTGGCTGCCTCGATGTTCAGAATCAATGCAAAACATTTCTCTTTCACGGTCATTTTGACATTCAGGAAGAGCCAGAAGTCATATTGTGCCAGATCTGGCAAATAAGGTGGATGAGGACACCCCGTGATATTTTTATAAGCTTGTCCTTCTGTTGGATGGCCCTAGACCGCACCGTTCACCATATCCCTGATCATACCTTGTAAAGACACTCAGGAAAGAGCACTTCCGGAACTGCTTCAGAAAGTGGCAATAATGATGGGATAAGAGTGTTTGAAGTGAAGAAGAGTATTTTGAAGGGGATTCATTTTTTAAAAAATTTAAACATTTACCATATTTCAGTCACCTCTCATAACGTAGGTATGGAGGGACAAATGTATGTTATGATATATAATGGCATAATCAATATACATATTAACATATTTCTTAATAATTTATGCATATCCTCCTGTGTATTTTAAATTACATTTAGATTACTTATACTAACACAATGTAAATTTAGTACAAATCATTGTTATACTATATTGTTTAGGGAATAACAAAAATTCTGTTCGCATTCAGTAGAGAAACTTTTCTCCAATTTTTTTTTTTTTTTTTTTTTTTGTACCAGGGATCTAACTTGGGGTCTTATGCTTGCGAGGCAGGCAGCAGAACCACTGAGCTAAATCCCCAGCCCTTTTCCAATATTTTTGATCCATGATTGGTTGAATCTGTGGCTACAGAGCCCACAGATGTGGGAGCCAACTGTAAATTAGGATATAGCTAGTGGGATATATGTAATCAATACACATGTCAGGAGGATATGTATTATACCCTGTTCTGTTAATTTATACTATATTCCTCTCATCTCACACACAACTCCACAAGAGGGAGTGGCAATGGAGCAAACCTTCGCTGCATATCCCTATGTCATCTCTTTACAAATCTGATCTGTTCGTCAGACCCAACTCATAAACAGATTTAAACAAATGAAAGCAAAGAGATTGTCTCTATGAATGCAGAGTCTGGATAAAATGACCTTCACCTTCCTTTTAACATGAGCACCAGAGTACAGGAGCCCCCCTCAGGGATCCCATGTTCAATTGTCTTCATTACTAAGATGGGAAGATGGTGCTTGGCTGAGCTTTCCTGGTTGTTTCTTGGAAGAATCAGCTTTGCAGATGGGTGAACTTTCCTGTACTGAACAACTTCTCATTATAGTGCAGAATTTTTATCCAAAAATATTTATGCAATGTGAAAAAAAGTGCAAAGTGAAAAGCAAGTACAAAAGTGAAAAGAGTCCCTGGAGAACTCAAGAATCAAGACAGAAGGGAGACAGGGTCTCCATGGTACAAGGCAGTGCTTCCTAATATGTTAGCATGGGGGTGGCAGACGCTCTCAGTTGGCCAATATCTGTGTCTGGTTTTTCTAAGAGCCTTTATATGCAAATCTGAATCATCACCATCTGAGAAGGAGGGAATAGGTGGCACCATTAGCCCAAATATTCATCCTAGAACCTTTATATTAAGGAGTTCTCAGCAGTAGCCCCTAGAATTCTCCTTCTCTGCATGAATCTTTAGGAAACACTGTTTCAGCATCCCAAGGGGTGTTGGGACTGACATTTTCCCTGGATTCTGCAGGGCCCTGGGCTTCTGTACTGTCAGTGGCATGCACCACCACACAAAGTTTGAGAGCCTTCGGGTGTGTTCAGACTTCTTCCAAGCCCTGAAGCACAACAGGCTGGAGCAGCCCACTTGAGGAACTTCACGGTTTTCTCATGGGAGAAAGAAGTGCCGCCAGGAAACACCAGTGCCCTGCACAGAGTCCAGAAAACCCTAATAATGAAAACTCCAAGGTTACTGAACATATTTTAGGTACTATCTTCAGTTCTTTTAGTCTATTTTGTTTCTGGGACTCTTGGTTTTCTTTCTACCCTAGCCAGGAAAGTGGCTCTGGAATCTATTTCTGGACTCAGAAAAGGTTCTATGTCTCAAGGAACAGGGTCCAGGTTTCCCAGTGGCTGCCAAGGGAGCCAGATGGTACAGGCTCACCAATGCAGGAGACTGAGCTGCTTTAAGGAGAGAGAGGAGACGGGAGAAACTGACATCACTTCTCCACTCTCTGATGGGCCATAAGACACAGTGTTTCTGTAGAGCTAGTCCTGGGATGTTCTGCTTTGGCCAAGTGCCATCTATGACTCTGTGAAGGGAGGCCAGCTGGGTGACCTGTATTGCTTCCCATCTTCCTCTGTTTATTTCCCATTCCCCTCACTCTACCTGCTCTGGGATTGTATCTCCCAATAGGTCCATGCAGTAGCAGTCCCACTTGGCCTCAGGCTGTCTTTCACAGTGAACCCAGTCCAAGTAATAACAATAGTAATAACTAAAATTTCTTAAGCACTTACCATGTGCTAGGCACTACTGCATGCTTCACATACTACAACATTTAACCCTTGCAATCTTATGAGGCTGATACTATGGCTACTACATTTTAGTGATGGGGAAACAGTGAGGTAAAATACCATGCCGAAAGTCACACAGATAACACATAGGGTAGTATCAAGAACGAACAGAGTACACCTTCAATGCCAATATATAGATGATTAATTGGTATATTTCCTGATATCACTTTTTCTTCTAAGGTGTTCTTCCAAGGGAGTCACAGAATATAACCAAGTAACAGGAGGTGGGACAAGATGAGGCACAGTAGGACTCCAGCTCAGCCACGTTTGTGTCTGTTGTGAACTTAACAGTAAGTCACTTTCTCCATGTACAAATTAAGAATCATGAGGTCATGCTACATATCACTGTTACCTATTACACAATTGCTAGGTCATTATATTCTCGTCAGCCAAAGTACTGACCAGTGGACCTCCTACAGCCCTCATGCGCTCTCCCTCCACAAGCAGGAAGGTCAAGCTGAGGCAATCCAAGAGGGAGTACTGATGGAAGAAGACCTAGTTAGTGCCTCTTGGGCATAAGCAAAGTTCTGCTTGTGACCCAGGTCAGTAACTCCACTGTAACCACAGAGGGAAGAGAGGGAAGACATCTACATTTACTCTAATGTGGTTAGCTTGGTTTCAAACTAAACAGCTAGAACTGTCTCCCTGAGAAGAGCGCCACATCTCACGGGTGACACAACTCTAGCAGATGAAGAGCCATATACAGTAGGTGACACTAGTGCAGCTACAGAGATGCGGCAACCATCTGAGTTTTGGAAGTGGGAGTGATCTGCCTTTTGGGATTAGCCCAGATTTTTCACCTTTATTCATGTATGTAATTAGTACACTAAACTGTTAGAAACCAGAGGGCCTGGGCTCATTTCTTCCTTTTAGCAATATTTTAAAAATACCTACTGTGCAACAGACTCTAGACATCAGTGAACACAGAAGACATGATTCCTGCCTCAGGGAATCCCTCATGGTCAATATCGCTTTCAAGGTTGGGACTTTGAATAAGCAGAAAGCGAAGGTGATTCACTGATTGATAAATCCTCAATTTTCATGAACTGGACAACTTTTGATAGGCTTCTCTTAAGGAGTCAATGTATTTTTTTCCCCTTGTTCTTAAAGCATCTCCTTGGACCACTTGAATGAGAAATACCCAGTTTGCAGAGCTATTGAATTATTATTTCTCTAGGGGTGGGAACTCAAACTCTGCATCGTAAAGCAGCTCTCTGGAAAATTCAGAAGGTCATTTATGTCTGGAGCACTGGCTTGCTCCAGAGCCCAGCGACCTCCACTCACACCTTACCTGTGTCCTGCACAAGTACATATGATGGAGTGCTGCTCAGCAGTGTCCTTGCAAGAGGCTGAGCCGGGACTGAGCTGCTCCTGCAGGTTCGGCACCAAGAGTCTGCAGGATGGAGGGTGGCAGAGGGGACGGCGGACAGCACAGTCTCTCTGGAGCAACTGTGAGGCAAATGCAGTGCCAGCAACTGCTGACTTCCACCCCTCAGGCTCTTCCTTATATTGCACAGCAGGTGCTGGGACTCCACCTTAGTCAAACAGTGTTTGGGCCTGGCATGAGAGGTGGGGAGGAAGGGGAGGGAGAGAATATGAGAATATAAGTATATGAAAAGATCATAAGGTTTAACAGTAAGATCTCTCAGATCCTCCACCCCAACACAAACCCTACCTGACCCCACCTCCCTCCTGGACAACCCTAGCCATTGATTGCTCGGCTGCCTTGGTTGTGGTTTTCCTTGTTTCCTAACATGTCCATTTCTTCATCTTTATTCTGCTTCAGGGAATCTGTGTTTTTACAAAACCTTTCTAGAAGCACAGAGGAAGTACCAAGAGAATATTCAGGGAAGCAACGTTTTGTCATGCCTCATTCTCCTCCTGGAAGCACACTGTTATGTCTTCCCCATCAAGGGTCTTTCCCACTCAAGGAAAATCCTATCCTGTGCCTTTTCTATTTTGGAATTAGAATCTTCTTTTTACAAGTAAATTTCAGAACAGATTAACATAGAGGATGCTGAAACCTGGAGACGGTGCCTGCATCCTTCCTGCTTAACAGGTTAGGGAGAACCAGATGAGGCAGGCAAACCCCGTGCTCCTTGAGTCTACAACCCTGATAATATGGTTCACCTTCAGTCATAGGAGAAAAGGATGCAATCAGTAAAGCAGGAAAAATGGGGAAATCACCATACACTCTATGAGTGGTCCAAATCCAGGCTGGGATGGGTGGGAAAAGATGGGAATTGGATGACGGAAGGAAGAATCCAAGCACCCATGAGAAGTGGCTCAAATCACCCTGGGAGACAGCACAGTGGGTGGGGTAGGGGACACTGGCTTGGTGGGAAGTGGGTCTTAATTCTAGTTCTACAAGTTCTGGCTTTATGATCTGGGCAAGTCTTTTCTTCTCTGAGTGTTAGTTTACTAATCTATAAAGAGAACCTTATAATGCTTGCCTTGTCCACATGATACTTCCTTAGTGGGATACCTGGGGCCATACTCTGTTAGAACTTTCATTATAAATACACCAAACACTATTATATAAATGTAGTTAATGAATATGTATATATTTGTGTGCTCAAAATAATTTTACTAAGAGGGTGTGCAGTCACAAATGTTTGAAAGCCATCATTTCAGAAAAAATAGTGAGAAAATGCTTTAGAAAACCCCACCCACATAGGCCTATATTAAGATGATGCCTCAAGGGAAATAACTGAAAGTTTGTTGGCTTACTGATGATGGTTTTGTCTTCTTTCATATCACAAAATATTTTTCCCCAAGAGCAGGAGCCATGGTCCCTAGAGTAGTCTTGGGGAATATTGAGTTCAAAGGGAATTAAATAAATGTCTCTTGATGGAGTGTTTGGTGCCAGAAGACAGTTCACCTTGGGGATAATTGTACTGTAAAAATGGCCCAGGTGCATGGACGGTAAGGAAGGTCCATTTGCAAGTCCAAGGGGTTATTTGCTTTTTTGGTTTCTTTGGCTCTTTAGTGTCCTTCTCCTCATTCATATGTGCTCTTTAAAACTGTTCAGTGACTTGTGTTTTCCAGAAGATTCCAACCTGGGGCTGTAAACCAGATGACACCTAATGGTAAATTCTCAGTTGAACTTCTGCTCTGAAGGAACTCCGGCATGGCCTTCTCTTTACAGCTGCTCTGAGATGTAGTCCTTTGGTTCCTGCACTGGACCCAACATGGCCACCCCTTCCCACAGAAGCTTGGTCTCCTTCCCTGACAGGAAGCCTCCACCACCACTTCCTGTGTCTAACCAATGCACAGACAGGGTACAGCCACCCAAGTGGGACTTCCTCGAGTGCTGATACCTACCCTTCCTCTGCAGAGTCAGGCCATCCCTTCTGGTTGCTCCCTACACCCATGCGGCTGACATCTCAGCCTCTGTGTCCTATGGAAATGACAGAGAAACAGCTCTTCCTTATACCCTCCTCTGAGCTAGAAGAGAATTGGAGACAGACTATGTTCACCACTCTCCCCTAGGAACCTACGCCACAGTTCTTGAAACAATCTACCTTCCCTTGCAAAGATTTCTCAGGAGACTCTACTCTGTCAAGGAAATGCGGCCCCGGGTCCTCCCCGCCCCTGCCTTTAGCTGGGGCTCAGAATACCAGAACTTCAGAAGTACAGTTCTTCCTTCTTTTCTCCTCCTCCAGCCCCTCTCTGTTCTACCTGCCTCCTTCTCCTCCCCTCCACTGTTCCTTTACAAACCACTTCCTGGCATCAGGCATTGTGCTGGGCTCCACTGGCCAGTGACTCTGGTGGACACTGCAAGACCTGTTGCTTAGAGTGATAAGACACATACAAACAACCAATGGTCACAAACCCACCAGATAGTCTCATTGGGTCCAGGACTGGCAGGTCCAATGAGACTCCAGGACAGGGAACTCTCACCTCAGTTGGGGGAAGGAGGTCATGAGAGGCTTCCCAGGGGGAGTGCAGGATGTGGTGGAGCCTGGGCTGAGGAGTATGTAGGGTCCAGGCAGGGAGCAGTGTGGTAAGAAAGTATAAATCCTATGAAAAGCTTGATAAATTTCCCCAAGATGAAATTCATGATACCACCACCCTGGCTAAGACACAGACAGCATCGCTGATACCCAGAAGTCCCCTCCACCTCTTTCCCACACTGACCCTCCAGGGCACCCCCAAGGTAAACTGTCCTCAGTCTGGTCAATTTTGATAAGCCTCATTCTCCTTTTCTTTATTAGAAAACAAACCCACTGTTGATTGAGGGGATTAATTCAAATGTCTATGTAAAATACAATAAAGGGCACTATTGTGGCAGGGTAAACAGGTATACTGGGACCTTGCTACGTAGTGAAACGGGTCATCACACAGACTATATGTACTGTTATGTTCCCCTTGGGGTGACAGTGGCAAAGTCAATAAAGTAAGGTGATTTTTTGTTAGTGCAAAAAAGGCAAGAAGAGCCTGGAGTCCCAGCCAGCCAGGGTTTGCTGACTGTGGACAGCATTTGGGTGGATCTGAGCCCCTCAAATCAGGCCCAGGGCACCCTAATTTCTTCTTGTGCCCTGGGTGACAGGACCCTGTCAAAAGCCAGGGTTTGCATTCACATGCATAGTGGGGTGCAGATGGGAATGTGGGGGGTGTGTGTAGTGAAAGGGCAGGAAGGGCGTAGGCACAAGGAACGGAAAGGATTCAGGGATGGTTTTAAAATAACAAGTACTAGTTTTGTTGTTTTTTTCCTAGACATTCATGCACTAACACAGACTTCTAGTCCTTGGAAGTCTGCAGCTGCAGGCAAGAGAAGTCAAGCCAGTATTTCCACCCTTAGTGCACTGGCTTGGAGCTGCTCCTCCCCAGAGTCCCTTCAACCCTGGGTTTCCCCACAGGGGCCTTCTGGGTATCTGTAGAGCATCTTCTAGCCCCTCTGGGGTACCCTGAACCTTCTCTAAGGAAGCTCTGCCTTGCTGAGGGTCCGAGCTCTAGATTGACCCAAATATATTGTTTCTAGCCCTAGTGCTTTTCCTTCCAAATTGCTTTCTGGGGAGCTCTTCCTTCTTCCCATGCGAATCACTTGTGCAATTATATGCCTCAGATGGGTGATATTAAGAGCCCCGAGTTCTTTCTCTGTCTCTCACACACCCTTTCCTGTTTTTTCTTAGAAAATTGGGATTATATGACATACTGTTTTGTATCCTGCCCTTTCTCCTTAAAATTAAATCATGAGCATGTTTCTATGTCACTATATAATCTTCAAGACTATGATTCTTAATGACTGACTAATATTCTCCCGCTTAAATGCAATATTGTTTTGTAATTGAGGGGAAACCTAAATAAATCCTCTAGCTTCACTTGCTTTTAATTAACTTTAAAAATCACTGCTTACAGAAGTCAAGCAGCTGAACTATTGTTAGTCTCCAACTAATTTTCCTACAGATGATGCACCTCTGATTGGAGCTGCCTAGCAGGTTATAACTGTTCTCAGGCCTAAGGTCTTGCTCTACTCCAGTTCCCTTACTCACTCATCCTCAGACTACAACCCTCACCTTCCAATCCTGTAAACTTGCTTATTTTTCTGAGCTGATTCCAGCTACCTGCTGCTGACCATAAGCATTGGTCCCAAATGGAATATTCTGTCTTCAAGATAAAACAATGCTATCATCACAAGAAGTTCTCCACAGCCAGTGGGTGCCAGACTGACCCCAGCTCCTGGGAAATGCTGATTTCTGCAGGTAGCCCTCACCCAGTCCTCATTTAAATACCCCTACATCCCCAGGGACCGGGAAAGTGACACTTGAGACACTGAAATGTCTGCTTCCTTCCAAGTTACCAGTATCCTCAATAAAGTCTATTTTCTTTCCCCCTAGTATCCATCTCCCAGGCATTGGTTTTTCTGTGGGGTGAGCTTGCCTAACCTGAGTTCTAGAACAGTTTAACCTAGTCTGCATTTTTGGACTTTTAGGTTATTTCTAACTTTTGGCCTTAACAATTCCTTTCACACAAATCTTTCCAAATGGCGCTGATGGGTTTCTTATGATAGATCCCTAAAAGTGAAATCACTAGGTTGAACTATGCCCACTGTAAAGGACTTTCCCTCCTATTGCTAAAATACCCTTCCCAAAGGCTGTGGCAGCCTGCCTCTAGTGGTGCACGAGGGTATTTCTTTCATCTGTAGTATCTTTACAGTATAAAATGGTGTTTCTGCCCCAGAGTGGGAAGCTGGGGAAACAGAGAGTTGAGAAGTGAGCTCCGAACCCTCACTGAAGCCTAGAGTTCTTAGAGCAGTCAGCCAGGGTCTCTCCTTCAGCTGCATCTCCCCCCTTCCATGTGCTATTCCCCCACCACTAGAGCACTTGATGATCGAAGAAACTTCCGTGTTCCCAAGTGCTGTGGTTTAGATTGAGAATGTTCCCCAAAGACCACCTTAGAGGGGGACTTGTGGGGGAGATTAGATTATGGGGTGCTGCAGTGGACTTGCTATTAGGAGGGGGACTTGGCATGGGGGCCGGGCATGATCTGGGTGGGTGTATCTCCTCCCTCTCGGCCTCCTTCCGTTTCCTCTCTGCTCCTGACTGCCA